TACATACATTAAACCACTTCTCAAATCCATAATTTGTTAAATAATTAATTATAAACAGTAGTCCAAATGATACTATAGTCGATTGAAAACTCAGTGATTTATACTTCCCAGTGCTTTATTAAAATGGCTTATAAATTACATTCAATCTCCGGTGATAATTATATGGTTAAATGGAATCCAGTAATTGTTGTTGGAATTGTAGGCTATGCGACAAACGCTTTGTACACTCTATATCTACAAGATCACCTTTCATTGAGCATTTAATAACGTTTTTTTCGGTATTGTCAATCTCTATAACCTGCACCGCAACTTACAGGTTTTTCATCACAATATGTTGGTTTTAATTTACAGGTTTTTACAAAAGGTCATGGAGGAGAAATGAATCATCGCAGATTTCATTTTGTGGGATCAGATTGGCAGTAAAAGCGCCAACTCATCAGAAATCTTGATTTCCAAAAAATATTTTCGACAATAATTGTGATCGAACGTATTCCTAGTACAAAAGGATGAAGATTTAGCTGAAAAAAAATTATTCCGATTGGTTTTTTAATGGCACTCGAGCGAGTACAACTGATACGTACTAATGATAATAGTTTAATTATTCGAAACGAAAATGTTTTCGAACATCAAAGTACCGAAAATATTTGTTGAAATTGCGAGGCCTTTATCTTTTTTTTTTGACAACTTTAGGGTAATGGATAAAAGTATTAATTTATAGTACTCTTATAACGGTGATAGGATAACTCATCAGAACTCTTGATACCCAAAAAATGTTTTCGATTAAATTGTGATCCAACGTTTTCCTACTCCGAAGGGATAAAAATTTATCTTAAAAAATATTCTAATAGGTGTTTTTATAGCTCCCCAGCGAACAAAACCAATAATTATTGGTTTATTTTAATCAACGATGAGAAAAGGAAAAATTTTCGAGCATCAAAGTAACGAAAATATTTGTTTGCAACTTGCGAGGCTTATATATTTTTTTCAGTCAAATATAGGAAAATGGTTCACGATAGTAATTTATATTACTCTTGGGAAGGCAATAGGAAAACTGAACAGAACTCTTGAAATCCAAAAGAAAATATCGACAAAAATAGTCATTGAACGCTTTCTTAGTCCAAAGAGATAAAAATTTGTCTGGGAAAAAAATTATTCTTATTTGAGTTTTAATAGCTCCCCAGCGAGCACAATCGATAATTATTGGTGTGTTTTAAACTAGGATGAGAAACGAAAATATTTTCGAGCATCAATGTGCCGAAAATATTTTTTCGCAACTTGCCTGGCTTATATCTTCTTTTTGTTCAACTTTAATGCAATGGTTCACTGTACTAATTTTTAGAACACTTAATGAGGCCATAGAAGAACTCAACAGATCTTTTTGCAGTGTGGCTGTCGATATATTGTGAGAACTAAATTGAGTGAGGGATAGCACTTAAACAAATATGGACCAATAAAAAAAAAATTATTTTTCCATTTTGCCTTTAGCCAGAAAGACTCTTCTACTGTCCAGAAAGACGCTTCAAGTCGCGCCATCAAAATTTTTGAGAGGAGCATAGTGTGACGGGTTTTTGAATTTTTGATGGAGCAAATTTTGAAGGATTTTTGAATTTTTGATGGGGGCAAATTTCGACGAGGTAATGAATTTTCAGACTACAGGACAAGGAGAAAACATGGTACATTCCGCATTAACTTATTTATTAACTTCATAAATGACCGAGATTTAGGTATATGAAATCTTTAATTGGCCGCCATTTAAAGATACGACCTTAAAGTAACAGAAAATTCGAGATTGACGGATGGGAGTTTTTTCTTTCTTTCATTTTTTGGAATTTAGAGACTCCTATCTTGTTATCTTTGTAAAGGATCAGTGTTGAAAATAATTAACTAACACAGTAGAGCTAAAAAAAGAGGTGAAAGAGGTTGATTCAATCTCATTAAGAGGTCTATTTTCTTGACCTAGATCGGCTCCAGACTGCCTGTCTTCGTCCCCAACTGAAACTTATTGCATTGCATCTTATTTAATTATTTGAAGAGATATTTATATTGCCCTTTGAATTTATAGCAGCTATTAAAATATAATGAGCGAGCGAAACTGAAACGAATGCCAACTATGAAGTGAACTCAAACGTTTCAAAGCTGAGAAAAATCGAAAGAAAAGATGATGAAAAGAGGAGAGATAGATACTCGAAGGTGGATATCCGCCTGAAGAAGGCAAAGAAGTGCAGCCGAGTGAAAGTGGTCCATTGAGGCAGGAACCAGTTCGGACATCCGGTTCTGTCGGGAGCGGGGTGATTACCCTCTGATAGCTCCCGATGAGGAGGGTATCGATAAGTCGGCCCTTCAGGGATCGATAGTGTTCAGACACAATTCATTCCAGATCCTGTTCTGTCTTTTGATTACAAACTAGAGATGTCGAAATAATATCGATATGGAACAATATATTTTACAATACCAAACATTTATATATAAATGTTTATAGCAACGTATAGAAATAAAATATTTGTATGCAAATATATCGTCAAATAAATGGATGAGCTTTGGAGCTATGGATGGACTACCGCTACACCATGACTATGGTACGTAGCAATGTGAGATGAATGGCTTCATCTAATCGAAACCTACAACTTTTTGGTTTACCAAATATCTAGGAGAATTTAATTATGTTTTTCTTTAGAAGGATGTTAATAATTTGATAAAAAGGAGTCTGTACCGCGGAATATACTTATGTGCGAAGACTACAAATCGGCTATACCTGTTACATAGTGTCAATGGAAAAAAGAAAATCTTAAAATCTAAATTAAAATTTGAGTATCGAAAACTAATATTAAAAAAAATAAATGAAGTCATTAAACAAGAAATAAAAATATCTACAAGAGAAGACCCTTCACTGGTGAGCACACCAAAATGAGATTAATCTTAAACATAATATACGAGAAATATTGGTTAAATTATTTTTATTTATAAAGGAAGGGGAAGGTCCGAGGTGGCGGTCATAAATAGGCTAAATAGTGACAAAACTATTTTATTAAAAGCAAACGTTTCGACCCGACTTTGTAGGTCTTCTTTACGGAGGTGTGTTCAACAAGGAGTTTCACTTAGAACTTTTTTTTTCTTTCTTTTTTTTTCCTATGCCATAGTCATTGGTCATTCGACCATCCGACATCTTGCTGCCCAATATAATTTTGATTTTTGTATGTAATCATTTACATATGTTTGATTCTTTATATCCGTCAAAGCAGGACATTCGTTTAGGTGGTCTGCATCCATTTCCGCTTGTTCACATAATTTACATCTAGGATCCTCAGCCATGCCTGTCTTGTGCAGATGACTTTGTAGATAGTCGTGACCAGGGGCCTGGCGGAAGCAGGCTACTGCATCTCTTCTTGGTAGGTCTGCTGGGATCGGGTTTTCCATCAAACATCCATAACGTTTCCCTTCCACCTTGTCTTTGTGCATATTTTTTGTTTCCTCCTTCACTATCACCCTCACCATTCGCCGAATTGAATCGTAGGATTTTGGATGGACTGTTTGTGGCAATTCTGCTCCCCTCCTGGCGAGACTATCCGCTTCCTCATTTCCTGGAATACCGCAATGGCTCGGAATCCACTGAAGGGCCACATTCGTGCCTCGGAGTGTTAGATCGTAGAGAAGGGATTTGCACTCCAAGATAGCAGTCGACATACATTTATTCACGTCAGTAATGGCGAGGATTGCTGCTTGCGAGTCGAGAAAGAGAACAGCGTTTTGAACTTGCCTTCCTGATAGTGTTCTTAGAGCTATGAGGATCGCTGCTCACCGTCAAAATTCGTACCATTCTCACTCACCGCAGCACTGAACTGAAACTCTCTCGAGTAAACTCCTGCCCCAGCATTTTTGACGGCTGATTCAGCTGATCCGTCGGTAAAAATGTGAAGCCAATCCTGAGGCGGGTACTTATGAGCTGTAGTTTCCAGTGCTATCGCTTTCAGCTCATATTCTGGTGTTTCTTTTGTATCCACCTTATGGAGCAGTTGCAGCTCTGCCCTGCTCGCGTGGTTGTGGATTGGGAACTGTGCCTGTATAAATGGCTCCCTTTCCTCATAGTCCAGCTCTCTTTCTTCCATAGCTGCAATAGGAATTGAGCGCGGTTCACTTAGAACTGAAACGTTGGCTTTTAATAAAATAGTTTTGCCACTATTTAGCCTATTTATGACCGCCACCCCGGACCATCTCCTTCGATTACAATGCAACGGTCAACTATTCAATATTTTTATTTATATTTGTTAATTATATTACATTTGATATCATTATATTTATTTACTTAAATTAATTTATATTTATTTTTGTTGATTTAAAAGTCCGTTTTAAGTAAAGTTTAAAGTGTCGATAAGTTTGATTCAGTCATTATTAATTAAATTTGGATGTTTTCTTTTGAGCTGTTTAATTAATTTTTTTTAAATTTTAGTGACCAAGTTTTTATATAATTCAGTAATTTATTTAATACTGATTTTATTATTAGGATTTATGATGTTTCTATTTATTAATTTTTAAGGGATTTAATTTTTTAAAAATGAGAACGAAAAAATACATTAAGGTGAACCGTAGCAGTTCAATCCATTAATGGTTCGGAATTCGATTAGTGATGAATTACTGATTCTTGATTCAGTGTTATGTAATAAGGTGGTGTTGGGAATCACACTCTTCAGGTCTAATTTGTATTCTAACCAATCGAAGGTCTGGTTCCAACTTGTACAGATTGTGTGAGTCCAAGCGAACAATACGAATAATGAAGTAAAGATTAAATTTTATTAAAACGGTATGTTTTCGAACCCAGGCCAGAAAGGATCGTGGGCGGCTTCAAGTTGATAAAAAATAATGAAAACTCTTTAAAATAGGAATGCAAATAATTTGTGAATATAAGCCCTTTATATCTAAAATAAAATGCGGTTAAAATTAAACGCACGCAAGACATGCTTTTTTATTATACATTAGAATAACTAAATTATTTAAAATGTACTCACCTCCATTAGTGTCAAATATTTCTTGTATGTCATCTATGTATTTTAAAAGTAACGCCATAACAGTAATGGAATAGGTTTAAGATACTGCGAACTGAAACAGAAAAATAAACAAAATCATAAATTATATTATAAAATAAAATCTAGATTGATAAGATTAATATAACAATTGCATTGGCCATCCATAGTCGATATTTTATCACCGATAGTATCTACCATAGATATCGTTCCTTCAATTATTCGATAGTTTAATATTTTATTTTGAAAATTAAAATTAAAACTTTTTCGGAAAGCTCTTAAAGGAATTATGCTTGAATCTGATCGTTAAAAGTAGAGCTGAATAGCGGGCGTGGGACCTTTTTCACTAATTTGCCCAAATTTGTTAGAATTTTCCCAAACGAAGGCCACAAATAGTCAAAGAAATCTACTTTGGATGCAAATAAATTAGCATTTTGCTGAAACCGATCTATGGGGAAATGGAAGGCATAATTGGTTGAATAGAAATTTCTGAAGTAAAGTTGAGGATTACGAAGATGGACAGGAACTTTCTTCTTTTTTTTTTTTACTAGGAAATATAATAATCTATCACATAGATAATAATTGGAGTGATATATAAGAAATCCTTCACACCATATATACAGAGAATATAAAATTAACAACAGTAAAATAATAACTAATTAATAATTAAAAACTATGTACAATAAAAATAAAATAACCTAAAGATAAGTAAATTAAAAACATAAAAACACAGTCATACCTATATACAATATATACAATCAGGGATGGAACCCAAAGGCTCCTCCCTTCAACTAGGACAGGAACTAGGAAATTAATTTTACTGGGGAGGGTAGAAGGACTGATATTTCTAAAATTGATTTAAAGATGAAAATTACACCTTTTTTTATGCGAATTAATATTTATTTATATTTCAAAAATATTTATAATATCAACTATCGATATTTCAAGTCCGATATTAATATCGATGACAATATCAATAGCAGTATATTGTATATTGTCGTATATTGTATACCAATATACTGGTATATTGTCGATACCAGTATATTGACTGGGCCTTCGATATCCCATCCCTTGTACCAGTGGATGATTGAGCTGTTCTCTACTTGCCTTTTCAATCGATTTTTAGTTCGTCAAAGACTATCATAAACAGATATATTTTGATTTTTAAAAAATCAACATTTGATAAGTTTTTCATGGCGACAAGGCTTTCCCGAAAAACGGTACATTTTTGGGCTTTAAAACGCAATTTGTATCATCTCGATCATTTTAATTACCAACATCGGTATTTTCGAACCGCATGATTTTTCAAATGGTTTTTATTAAAGTTGCAATAGGAATTTAAGGACCAGTCAGGAACCTGAAATTAGGCTTTGCCGTTTCCATGTGAAATTCCCTGTTGATTGACACCTCATTGATTGAAATCCACCACTTCTGAAAGCTGGAAAAGAGATATTTACTACCGTATTAGGGGTGTTTATAAACTTGTTGTAAATGCTTAATGTGCTAACGTGCTAAAGTGTCATTGGTCACAGTAAGGTTATGCTTCTACTGTAAACAAAGTTTGTGAGTTCTTAAATTGATCTACTAACGTTTTGATTTAAATTTAAAATTCCAAAGGGAAATTGAAAAAATTGAGTTGCTGGATTATTTGGTTAAAAATCACGAATGAAGATTCAAATGATTGAGGAGGCAAAGAAATTGATGAATAGGTAGATGAAATCCTAGCTGTCTTTACATTCCATTTGTGTGGATATTGTATACAAACAAACAACAGAGAACCAAACACATCAAAACCTTACAGCAACTTTATCCGTGCGTTTACGAAGTTAGCAAAATTTTACAGGATCATAGGCTGCGTTAAAATCGAGAGTGCTAGCGGCCATATTTAACACACATTTCGAAAATAATTTTCTCGAGCATTTAACAGGTTTACAATACTTAGCACTGGTTGCATGATTACCCCTACTATTATATATAGAGAACATTTAGAAGATGTGTTTACATATTTTCTAATAACCTTTCCTAAGATATTCATGAAACTACTAACTTAATAAATTTAAGTTGGACATTAAGAGGTGAGGCATAACAAAGCAAGGAAGGCCAAGATTACAGAGGCATTGTGTACTAGATAGTTACGAAATTAGAAATGGGGTCACCGTTCGCAACCACTGTTTCTCCACTGTGCCTTCCTGTCCGAGCGATGAGTGTCTGACGTCGCGGAAATTATGTCTATTCCGGAAATAAATGTATAATGATTGGAGGTATCAACACATGGAGGGATATGCACGGTAATATAATTCAGTAGTATCGAACTCTTTTCAGGAGCTATGGATTTTGACAAATGTTAAAATTAATCGAATTTCATGGGGAAACGATAAATGAATGATTTCGTTTCTTAGAGTATTAGAGAACAAAATTAATAAAAGTGATTCAAAATTGTCAGAGGTTTCAAAAATTCGACGGAGGGAAGTTGGCGTATTGTCATGGGACAAACTATTCAACTAATTTATATATTTGTATATATTGTATAAAGGAATGAATTTAAAATGTTAAGAAGTTTTTATTTATTTAAAATATATATATATATATATATATATATATATATATATCTAATATACTCATAAATACTAACCACTTCTGTATATTTATATATAAGTTTTATTTATTAACGAATTAACTAGTATGCTGTGTGTATAGCAACCCAATATAAACGGGCACCAAGCTTTTATATTTTATATGAAATATAAAGTGTTTCTCTCAAAGACGGACATCTGTTAATTCTAAAAAATCAAGAAAAAGCCAATTTTTTTAGTATAGCTTCAATTTAAACCAATTCTTATCTTATGATTTGTTTTCAAGTATGGACTTGAACATTTAGTGAGTGTTTCTCTCTCTTATTTATTTCCTTTTTTATCAGTATTATTTATTTTTTTTTTTATCAGTATTATTTTATCAGTATTATTTCCTTTTATATATTTATAGTTATTTCTGTAGTATTTGTATATATTGTATGAATGAGAACATTCAGCCTTAATACTCATAGCCCTCCTTAAGTGTCTGATTGTATTATTATTTAATAAATAAAGTTTATTAAAAAAATTATATATTAATTCATTTTACATTTTTTAAAAATTAACTTGTAATGGAAGACCCATAACAAAAGCCTCAACCAACTTTACCGACGTTTTTCGAAATCTTGAAACCTGAAACTGAGACAGCAACTAAATATATATGAATGGCTTCATATCAAAGGCAGAAATCTGTTATTTCTAAAAATTCAAGAAAAGGCCAATTTTTGTAACATAGCTTCAATTTAAACCAATTCTTATCTTATGATTTGTTTTCATGTATGGACTTGAATATTCTTAAATAAAATCATTTGAAACAGTTTGAATAGAACTTATAAAAAATTTTTTTTTTTCCTCTTTCTGAAAAGTACTTTGATATGACTAATATTTATGATCACTAAAGTCTATCCCGTCCCAGGGATGTCCCAAAAGGAGGTTTCATCGAAATTATTAAGGGGGTCGTGAATTTTAAAATGAAAATTTTCAAACCAGTTAACAAGAGGAAAACATGGAACTTACCATACAAAGTGTATTTGTAGATGATCTAAGACGTTTTAAATTATCCTTCCACTTCCACTATTTTTGAAGATGTGAGCATAATAAAATATCTAGGGAGGAAAAAGGAGGAATACGCCATTGGTTTCGGGAGAGTGGGCATCCCTGCACTCATATAAATACTTACTTATTCCTATATTATACTTCCTTATATAAATACTTACATACCCTTATGGGACATATTCATCAGATACATGACATCGCCTGCACCTCCTGGCCCGGGAAAACCCCGTATAGTCTTAACGGCGAGGAAGGGGAAGACGCAAAAAAAAGATACATGTCATCGACAAAAAGAATCGAAAAAAATCTTAAAACCTTCCAATCAATTTTTTTACGACTCATATAGCACCTGAGTACGTGACTAACAAAACTTTAAATACCGACATTCACTTACCAACAGTTGTCCAACATATAACGACCCTTTACCAATAATTCAATACAAATTTAGATGGACATTACAACAGTTTAATATAGTCATTATTTCCTGTTTAATCATATCATTTACTGATTGTTACGCTACAGTTGGGATGAGCGTATAAATGTATGAAAAAAAAATTGTAATGATTTCATAATAAAAATATTAATTAATAATAAAACAACGATTTTATAAGACTAATTGCATTTCAGTATTGTTAGTGCAAAAGGCCGTATGTAAAAATTTTACATGTTTATTCTCTTTGCGCTGAAAGTGACATTTGATAGTCTGAAACTACTATAAGTCTACTACATAGGAACATAGGAAGCAGAAATAAAATATGAAATTACACTAATAAATTATAAAGAAATAATCAGTTTTATGCTCTTCCGTAAGAAAACTCCATTTGTACATACGATATTTTGCACTAACATTAGCGATATGATGTATTTTATGGGTCAATACATTAGAATATTTTTAATAACGGGTAGTTTAACTCAAAACACCCAAAAGTAAAATATAAGGCAATAATTACAAAAGTTATAAGTTATTTTTTACACTATTATACATTGGAAAATAACACCTGACGACCTTCCGAAGGTAAAAACAACCGATAATGATACACTTTCGTTCAGTAATTTGTTTTTCGATTACAGCCTACGTCTCCGATAGTAAAATTGGTCATCAGCAATGGTACAATAACATTTATTAGTCCAAAAAAAAAAAAAAAATGAAAATGAATAAAAAGAAAACAATAACACTAAATTCCTCAAAGGATAGTGAATATTTATTTTAGAGCCAGTAAAGATGTGTGATATTATGTAATCTAGAAGATATTAAGATAGTTATACAAGAGGATAACATATTCCCGACAAGAGCCCATTGGCCTAGGATATAATGCAGGAGATTACCATCCTAAGAAGAGAAGAAGTTGAGTCCTTAACCTTGAATCCTCTAGGAGCTAACCATCAATGCAGGAGCCCTCTTATGTAACTCTTACCACAC